GTTTCTGTCCTTGTCCAGACCTGGCCGGGGAAGGTCAGCTAGTGAAGGCAGCCTAGCCCAGGGATGCTGCCCGGGTCCCAGCTGGCCAAATTCCCCTGCCCACCACATAAGGAGTGGGCAGGAAGGGGAGAAGGACAAGAACTTCATGCAGTTTGATGAAACTGGGAGGCGCAGCCAGTGTTTCTCCCCCCCACACACACAGCTGTTAAGGCTCGGGGACCAGAGCTGGGCGCTGTCGGTCTGCAGATGTAGCCTGCCTGCAAAGGGGGCAAAGTGGGGGAGGCAGAGGAGCCTGGGCCAGCCAGCCAGGAGGGAGCTGGCACCCATCAGCCTTACGGGCACCCTCCTTGCCCACCCTCAGCTTTGGGAGGGGTGCTACCGACAGCCTCTGCTCTCAGCCTGAGGAGGGTGTCCTGGTCTCGGGGCCCCCAGATCCAGTCTGTTTCAGGCTCCTGGGATCTCCTCTGCCGTGGGGCCTTTCCTGGCCTCGCCAGCTGCGGCCTCCGGTACCCACACATCCATCCCACCTGAGCCTGGCTCCAGCCCCACCCCCCAACCAGGCCAGGTGGGAGGTCAGGGTGTGCCGGGGCTGCCCCCTGAAGGCCACCGGGCTCCAGGCCACTCCATGTCTGCCTCTGTCTTCACGTGGCCTCCTCTGTGGGCACTCTCCTCCTCACGCCTCTCTTAGAGGTCACTTGAGATGGCATTTAGGGCCAACCAGGTAATAACATCTCCTTCCTAAAGGTCACACTACACACTCTGGGGACTGGGACACGAACATGTGGTTTGGGGGCCACCATTCAGCTCGTGATGGGCTGATAGGAAGGGAGAAATGGCCGTCAGGGACAGGCCATCATATCTGGAGACACGGGCACAGAAAGGCCCAAGGAAGCTGGCTGTGGTGGCATACAGCGACCCTAGAGACTAGAGGCAGGACGAAGGCACGCTCCAGGCCAGCCTCAGCCACCTAGTGAGGTCCTGCCCCGGAACAAAAGACAGCAAGGGCTGAGCGTGGAATCGGTGTTAAGCTGACCCCATGACGCTGCTGGGTGGCACCGCACGGCCGGCTTGCCTCCTGACCACCGCTAGCAGCTGGCACCGGGCACACTCGCTAGGTGTGCGGTGTCACGCCTCCGTCTCCGGAGCTTCCTTGCCCACACCGGCTCCCGGGCCCAGGCTCCCTTGTCACTCTGCCTCGCTGGCTCTGATCGCTCTCAGGCCACGTGGAACAGATGGCACCGTGTCTGCCCTTTGTGACTGGCTTATCAGCATGGTGGCCGCCCCCCTGCCCGGCTGCAGTGTGTCATCGCGCCCTTCCTTCCAGGTGGAAACCTCCCTGTCCTCCGCCCTCCGTCCCTGCTTTCAGTTCTGTGACCACGCGGCAGTCCTGTTAAATGTACAAGGAGACGCAGGGGCACTGCTTTTTACTTTAGACAGGGTC